TTTTGAGAAGACTCACAGCATAAAGGTGAATAATGTGGTATTCGGATCCATCTTGGACTACCTAGCCTAGGCAGTATGTAAGAAAGTTCCAAGCTCAATGTGAGAGCCGTTGACAACCGTGGACCGACTTATATGAAGGGTGCCGACCTGAGCACGCCAGCCAGTTTACCGCCGTGTCAGGTTCTAGCTGCCCAAGATAGAAACAATTGTCACGATCTCCCGGACTGCGAAGACAGAGCGTGCCAGCAACCAGAGAGGATTCAGTCGAATTGGCCAATGGCGTTGCGTAAACGGGGCTGACGGAAGCGCCGTAATTAGGTGACGAATTGGTACTGAGGTACTGTACACATGCAAGCAAACGTGGAGGAGGTACACTACTATGTAGGGGTGGCAAGGGATGTCAGCGCTTATCAGAAGAAGAATCGTCCAAATGTACTTGGTCAATGCTATCGCTGAGACCGAGATTTGGAAGAGCCTTATAATTCGGAGGAAAGCGTTGTTTCGTTTTGTCTTTTATTCTTCCCCTAGAAAAAAAAAATCCTTCGTTAGATCTAAAGACTTGATCTTACATTAGGTTCAATGAGAGGTTTACCTAATCAACCGCAGAGCTGTTACAACACCAGAGACCAACTACCGGTAAGGTCAAGCTGGTCTAGCTAATGCAAAGCCGGCTATTTGAGTGGGAGGGATTGGTCTTGTCAACTAAACCCGCTAACTATTAGTGTAGTTGCGATAACTGGCTTAGTGCACCAATTGGAAGTCTTGAGACCAGACCAGGAGGAGCCTTGCTCGAGGTTACAAAATGTCGGTGTGTCTTGCTAGGAACTGTTTCAGTGTGCTTTTCTCTCTCTTTCTTTTTCTCTTTCTTGTGTATCTGTGTGTCTCTTTTCGCCAAGCAGTGAGGCTAAGCTACAATAGCAACTTTAGTAATGGATGGGGGGCAAACTTGCTTTTGCTATCTTGACGCTCGTTCGTAGTAGAGAATCGCCGTCTAAGAAAGAAGAAGGAAAAAAAATTCAAACCCCCAGGTTTGACACAAACTCAACACTAGCTGGAGTCATAGTAAAGAGAAGTTGGAACGAGTACACTACTATGAAGTCTAGTATGTTTTGGAAATGATAACTACATAGTACTATTATGGCTCGGTTTGATGATGGATCTGGCTCATTCTTAACATTGGAGTCGGGTTTGAGAAAGACGATAGTTTTCGTCATCGGTTCATCTGCGTCGGCGCAACTCACGAATGACAAGAGATCGTATTCCAAAGTCGTTGCTACGCAAGGAGCAATATGCAGCTATTATTCGACGGCATGATGCAGTGCTACACTTGGCCATTCTCGTCGTTTTCGTCATTACATGTGTACACTAGGACATACAATAGTGTACCAGCTAGGTCAGTCAGCTCCTCAGTGACCTGCGACTTGGGCAAATAGTCACTACATAGTATATGCGTACTGCGTGCTGCCTAGTACACTCCACTAGCCTAGCTGAAATTACTCATTTCACGCAAGCTGTACATTTTCTACACTACACTACACATCAATATTACAAGAGTGTACCTAGGTATAGGTATACTATCTACTTACAATAGATGTAGGTACGCATACTAGATCGGTAGGCAGCACACACCTCGACCGTCTTATGAACTCACAACGTAGGTAGTATGTGTTAGGTAGATAGGATGCCGAGTGATCTTTAATTTCCTGTTCAGGCCCCAGCAAAGAGTCACACAGCCACGCCACATTGCTTTAGCTGGCAAGCCACAAATATGTAAGTAGTATAGTACAACCTCGATTCGACTAGGATCCACTGAGCGTGAACGGCTGAGCTATGTTCTACTGACAAAACGATCCAGCCCGTCGAAAATGGCGCCTGGTTCTACTACTGTACTGTACTGTGCGTAGTACACCACCACACTAGTGTACAGTATGGCTTCGTGACATTCGGAGAATTATCAGGTAGTGTACAATATGCCGGAGGGGAGGGGGGTCCGAACCTTCGGGACATTGGCTTACACATGGCTTTTTGGTGTCAACCGTCTGACAGGAACCTCTACTAGTACATCACCTCTTAGTGTACACTGCTATAACAGTGTGATGATATCTACCTATCTTACACTACGCGCTGTTGTACACTACTATATCAGACCAGTGTAGGTAGATTGTCAGCTGATCTTTGTTTTGCAGGCAGTGACTAGCAACAAAGGAAAGAGAAAAGAAAAGAAAAAGGAAGAAGAAAAGTACCATTCAGACGGGCATGGCGCTGAGTATTAATCTTCAACTGAAGCCCGACGGAGGGGCCCAATAACGACAACGTTGCTCATGACAAACCATGATTCACCAAATAGTGGTAGGTATGCATACCATACTAGTATTCTACTACTTATGTATGTGAGGTCTATAGTATGTACGACTGATACGCAAAGTCCACAAATTTAACTACCTAGTAGTAGTACTTCTCACGCTAGTGCACCTTTTTGTTTGTTGCCTTCGTTGGGATTTAGCGAATTAGCTGCTGATTGCATTTCACTACTACTAGTACTAGTATATATACAGGTGCAGTACGGAGTACTAGTATAGTATAAGCACAAGTTGCGGTAGCTAAGGGCTCGGTCTCGGGGCTCGGAATGGTATACAATCGTCCTGGCCGGGTTATGATTCTGTATATTCTGTGCATAAGCAGCATGAACGTCAGACAACAGTTGTCCCACAATCTCACGTGGGACCATTGACAGGCAAGGAACTACTATGTAGGAACTTCAGGTTCTGTTCAAGTTCTTATGTCTTATGCGTCTTATGCCGAATCATGCAGGAACTGAACATTCCACGTGCTGTAATACGTGTTGCCATGTTAACCGGCTTACTTGACTAGCTGTGAGCTAGTAGAGGGCTGAAACAAGAGGCGCGTGCCTATCGGCTGATCTCGCCCAGAAACGAGTTCTTCGCTGACGTTTGCCAAGAGGGTACCTAAGTGCCTAAATTAACCCACCCGGATATTGGGGACCTAAACTACTAGCACACTCGTCCCATTAACATGCTTGCCTATACACGTATAACTAGAAAGAAGTCTCTCTGACATATGCACATTGTAGTGTACGAGCGTCCTACGCATGTATACGTGTAGTTTGGTGGCATTGTGTGCTATCCTGACGGAGACTCATTAACGGGCTTACCTACTACTGTATACTGGCAGACTTTGAGTTTGATGTAGTTCTATCTATCATTTTAGGTTTGGTCTGTCGAAGGATCAAGCCCAATCTACACAGCCGTCTTGTGTCGCGTGTCATATAATTCCCTTCTCATAAAGTGAATTCTCTCCGTCCCCGGGACCATTGCTACTGTTTACATTAACAAGACTACAGCAAATAACACGGTTGCCAAATCCACCTGCGCCTCGAGACCCATCAGAACTATACTCTAAACTGATGTTATATGGCTAATAGTCAGGAGGCATACGTTTGATGTTAAGCTTCAGTCGCAATACGCTGCCTGTTTGATTTCTTCCGGGCCAACAACAGCATCGGCAGTACACCGAGAGTCCTGTAAAAGAGGTTCAGGGTACGGTAGAACGGGAATGGCACCACTATCCTCGCTCACCTAGGTAGTATATTGTGTTAGTTATTGCTAATAAACCGGTGTAAGGATGGTTTGTCGTAGTCTCGGCTTCAAGAATCGGTCATAAAATAGTGTACACTATAACGTATGTTTCGATACTCGTTTTACCTGTTCGCTGTAGCACACTAGAAGACATCATTTCTCTTCGTATTAAACGACCGGAGAGTAGATTTGTGGCCCGCAGCGGAGACGAGGAGAGACCCGCGTATCTTACTTAGTAGTACCTACACTACACTAGTATAGTAGTGTAGATCAAGACTTATTGGGGATCTCGGTACCGGCCTAGGAAAGTCGGTAAATTATGGGCAAATCGCCATCATGGTTAAGACGACGGGTATTCCTAACCTGAAAAATAGACAAAGTCGCCTTCTTAATGGGTTTGGGCAAAATGGTCAATCTACCTCCATTCATCTGGCAGCATCCATGCAGGAACAAATGATATTCGGAGATTTTAACCCGCATCTTGCGCCTGGTGCGTTAGCATTTCCGAAACTTAGCCTTACTCTCTCCCTTAGGTATCCTCTTTTATTAGCCCCGTCTAGTGTATTATTTATGTAACAGACCTTCTGGCGCCCCTGGCAGTAGGTACTGTGGGTAAAAAGTTTACAATTACATTACATTAGGTCATTAAAGCATCCAGCATCACGGGCCATCAAGTTGAACAAGCCAACAAATGCTATTTTTGGTTCCTTAACTCGGGATAATTACTTCAATGGCCCACCAGCTCTACTAGAGACCAAAATTTGTCTCTTCCCTATCATGATATTCATAATGATTATCTGACAACATCATCCAATGGTGGCACTACCAGATATTAACCCACTAGGAATTCCCGAAACCTGAACTCTGGCGTCACTACCTCTGAAACGAATATGTTTTATGGATTAGTGTATAGTACAGCAGAGGTCACTAGCCGAGTTCTCGGTCCCTCGGTTCGTAACGCATATTCACGCATATCTTCCCATACATATTTACTTAGTAAGATCGTGACATAGTAGGGTAAATTAACAAGAAACCAGCCCCAGGTAGACTATACTATGTACTATATATAGTGAGTGTAATAGCCTTTGTCGACAGGTTGACTTCTTCTAGACTTTACCAGAGCCAACAATGAACTCTCTATGGTACTGTAGCTCATTAAAAAAAAAATGAAAACCGGCACTACTCGATGTCAAGACTATAACGTAGTTACTACAAGTAAAGCATTAGCAATCAAGCACAAGTTTTAAATGGAGAATCTGTTAATGCGTGAGCAATTTATTTTGCTGAAAAGTAGTAATCTAATAGTTGCCAAAAAAAAAAAAAAAGGTTGAGATCTTGGATTTCAAACGTTTACTCTAGCATTCTGGAGTATAGGACTTGTTTAACAAGCGACTTATCATCGCAGGTCGCTTAGCTCAGTTGGTTAGAGCGTCGTACTAATATTATAGTAATATAACACTAGTGATGCGAAGGTCATGAGTTCGACCCTCATAGTGACCAATAAAACCCCCAATCCAAAGGGGTGATGCTTTTTTGAATCTTGATTATTTTTATATAAAATAATATACACATATTTACACACGGTTATTGGCATATATAGGCAAATACCTAGGTAGATCGGTCGACATCCGTCCGGGCGGTGTCTTTTGACAATGGTTTTTCTTTTATAACCCAGTTGAATGCAAGGGGAGGCGTACCTCAGGACCAAATCCCCTTAATACATGACTCCCTCTCACCCCAATGTTTTCCATTATCATAGGTCTGATTATGAGTATTGGTGGAGTTAAGTTGGGATATGCTTCCCCTCAGGTTTCTACCGTCGAGGATGAAATGTTGCTGGTATAGAATAGTTGATATGCCGTACTCCTTGCATTGGCACTACTACCGGCCTCTGCAGCTGTACTTTTTGTTGATTTATTCGACCTATTAATATCGGATAAATTACCGCGTCTCTAAATCATTATTCCTTCTTCTCAAACCCTATTTTGAAACACTACTTGAGACCTTGCGCACGCTCGTCTGTGGACCCGAGCCTACTCACGGGTGGCATCTGCTTCTACGGAATTTAGTCGCCGCGAAGCGATCTATATATCCTGAGCGTCTGCGTGAAGATTAGCCTTGATAATGTTTCATCTGGCTTCGACTAGTGGGTTTAGATAGCTCTACTGATGAAATACTGAATAGATTATGTAGGGCGGGGTGTGTTATTCGGTGAGCTTTGAATATCGTAGTGTTCAGGCGATACATGCTTGGTTGTTGGCTTGGACATCTCGACCTACCTAGGTTGGCTAGGAGTAGGGCACATAGCTTGAGAGGTTTCGCATAGCTGCCTTGTAAAAAAGATATAAATCTATTATATCTATATAGTAATGTGACGATCTGTAGCCAACTGAGGTATACATATCCCAAAGTTCCTCTATTTATATCCTTCTTTCGTGGTATTGCGCTATCCCTTCGGGTAGAATAAGCCCCTATTCAATGGAATTGCTAACTGTGCCCTTTGAAGAGGAATGATATACGTTGGGGTTCTGTGGGTGTTGGTGTATTTCTCAATATTGCACCTTGTGGATGCTCACTGGGTTTTTCAAAACTGTGGAAGAGTGCGGCGAAAGTTTCGGAAAGAAAATAAAAGATCCACTTGAGCTGCCAGGGTCACATGTTCTAGGGCAACTGAATAGATTGGTATGCTAACAATACATCGTGACTTAGTGAGAGCTGAATACTCATTCGTAATTCTAGCTTCATTAGGCAAACATCGCAGTGAAGATATTTTTGAGCAATATATTATCATTATCCACCTGTATAGGTGTAGCAAGTTCTTCGTAATGAGTACAGCCTTATCCAAATTCACAAATTCTCACTAGGAGATCGAGTCTCGACAGCGTAAGGACCGATCCCAGCGATCTCAAGCACAATATACAAGCGTGATAGTACACGGCATGGGAGGAGTGTTACCTTGAGCAGCAAACCAACCATCGAAATGAATCTGGGCATCAAGCATCAAAGGTTCCTGCCTAATCATGCTCTGGCCACTCAGCAATTGGCATTTCTCTTGGACACAATTGACCTTGTCGCTCCCCATTGACCAACATATTAAAAAGTAAAAAAAAGCGACCAAAAAAAACCCCTAAGTTGATACAACGAATCGAAGCCTGCGGAGGGTAATATGCTCCTACTGAGCCTTAGCGGATATCTTCTTGGCTTCTGCCTCGAGATGATCCGCCGCATTAATCCTTGAGCGTTCGTACTTTAGTGAAGTATCGCCCTTCCAAATAGTGCCTAGTATTCGATCCCAGAATGTGAAGAAGGGCTGGGAAAAATTGGTCTTGATGCCCCAGCTTTGGTGGTGGATATCGTGGTATGCAGCATTGTTGCCAGTAATATGCTGAAGCGGATCCCACGGCAATGCATATCCACAGTGGTCGTCAACAGTCTTGATGGTCGAGCAGATGAAGAAGAAGATGCCTTGTTTTACGCTCATGCCTGCCACCTTGTATGCAAGCCCGGCACCTAGGGTGTCGAGAAGAAAACCTTCGAATGGATGATTGTACAACGCTCCATATGCGTAGGGAACGTAAAGCCGATGATGTCGGGAATGGAATTTGGCTAGGATAGAATTAGTGGCGACCGTCCCGTGAGAGAAAATATAGCCTACAACTTACTATAAAGCCACTTGTTCATGTGCATACCACGGTGCAGGAAATACTGCCAAGTATCCAGGATGCTCACGGCCACCACCAACTGCAAGGCGGGAATGATAACATAGTAGATGGCCTTGGCAACAATGAGCTCCCAGGCGGCGAAAGAAGGAACCATGGTGCCGTCAGTTGCGTCGAGGCTGGTACTAAGGAAAGGATAATAACCACCAGCTAGGGCACCAGCTAGGAGGGGATGTGATATAGCCATGTTCTTGGAGATGGTAGCAGCATTGATTCCCAAGAGGCCAAGGATGCTGGGGAGAGCTCTTTGGGCGAGACGAATTCTGGTTGCCCAGACGGCGACGTCATAGTCCTCATTACCGGTCATCTGTGGAGGGTCGGTGATACCTAGCACAACGGCCATGCCGATCTGAATGATCTGCTGGATAATGACATCTCGGAAGACCTCGAATCGCGTAGCTCGGTTGCGCTGTGCAATCTCAGCAGGTGTGTGCAGTCTATATTGGGGGAACAAGTCGTAGACGTCCATGACGTGGAATATGCCAGAGACGACCCAGTAAGCGAGGACGGGCGCAATGGCGGACAGATAAAAATCGGGGAACCATGATATGACATCGGGTGCCTCGGTGAGGGTGTAGGTTGGGAGGGGAGGGAGGTCGGTAGCAGCGGTTAGGTTTGACGCCATCACTGCCGAATCGTGACAAAATAGGTCAGGTAGAATATATGAAACCAATTACAATGTATAGGAGTCCGAAGACAAGCAGGAAAGAGTAAGGAGCGTGGTGAATGAGACAAGAGTGGTTGGTGAAAAGAAGGTTTTCTGGGGGGGAGGGGGAAACAGAAGGGAGCAGCGGACAATGAGGTAGATAATGTTGTCTAAGAAATGTCTAAGAAATGTGAACCGGACGGAGGCGCGTTAATTATGGGTTACCTATTAGAGCTCACCCTTGTAGGTAGACTGTACCTTACTTACGTACTATATACTATACTATGTACTCTGTAGTGTGTACCTAACGGACCGAACGGGGGAGCCCTGCTTCGACGTTTCGGACCGGTGCCTGACTGGCTAAGTAAGGCCTGCCAGCTGCCGTGAAAATGGCAAGGGCGGATATGGGGAAGCAATCGGGATATTATGGCAACTGGCTCGTCCCCTTTCGGATAAGGTGTGGGTTGGCCACTGTACTATTACTGGTAATGCAGTGACTCAGCACGGTGGAATAGGGAATAGGGAGTAGGGAGTACCTAGGGGAATAGGGAATACCTAGGGAAGAGTGGAAAGGTTGTGTAGACTACTAGTAGGTACACTATAGTAGAGATACATAGGTAATAGAGATGCACACTACCAAATACCTATCACCGGGCACGTACACTACACTCACCGTTAAAAAGATAGGTAGGTTATCGTGTAGCCGGATACTTGAATCAGCTGTTTTTAACAACACACTGTTGGAGAATAGAGGTTTATGGGGTGTAAATGGCCTGACAACATTTTCACTATTGATCCTCCAAGCCACGGAAAAAAGAGAGCAACGCATGTTCTTCTCCTTCTCTTGCCTGCCTGCAAAATTTCATGCCGAAGATACTAGTACCGCTATGTATGTAGTTCAGCTCGGCATCCGCGGGCTTGAAAGTTTCATGCTTGAGTAGCGTGTTAGGAAAGGCAGCTTTTACCTCTCGATACCTTCCATACTATAGTAGTTAGGCTTCTGCCTACACTAGATGCTCTGTTATTACTTGTACATAGTAGGTACGATTTCAGGGGTTAATCATGTTAGAATCAGCCCAGCTAAACTGGTCGGGAAATTAATTAGCATGTTGGTTAGGTGGAACAGTCGGGTGGAATTTAGGTTAGGTAAGCTAGGTGCCTAAGTTAAATGGAATAAGCTAAATGCTTCCAGCCTGCGACAGTTGCTTTACAGCTGGCGGGAAAACTTGTACTCATTTACTACCTTAGGTAAGTACAAGTAAGTGCCTGTGCGCTACATACATAGTACACCCTTAGGTAGGTAGGTAGGTAACTCACAGGCAGGTGGCATCGTACGGCTCTATATTACAGGTAGGTACATGTATGTACTACCTACCCGTGGTACCTGTAGTATGTACCTAGGTAGTTTGGGGCTGCCCCTCCAAAGTCCAAAGTCTCGCCCGCACCCCGCTTTTCCTCAGCCAAAATTTTGAGTGTCCCTCCTCGCGCCAAATCTGCCCCTCATTATTTCGCAAAACCTGTCTCCATCATCTGGAAATCTTCCTTTCTATCCACTCTCGATTCCCGTGTCGTCCTTTCTAGTTGCAATCACTTTATAACTTACCCTGCTTACGTTCCCGATCAGCATCTTCGTTAAGTCCGTACGCCAAAATGATAATTTTCAAGGTTGGTTTTTTCTTCTTTTCTCACTCTCTCTCTTGCACTGGGGACAAGAGGAAACTGACGGGTTCTCTGCTCATAGGACGCCATTTCCGCCAGCAAGGATGAGCTTCTCTCCGATTCCTATGACGTCAAGGAGGTCGACGGTGTCATTTATGAAGCAGACTGCGCTATGATTGAGATTGGCGCCGTCGATGTTGGTGAGTCTTGTCGTGCTTTTTGCCTATGCCCCGCCCCTCCCCCGGGCAAGGGTAGTCATTAACTGTGCGCTCAATAGACACTGGTGCCAACGCCTCTGCCGAGGAGGCTGATGAGGGTCTCGACGACACTTCCCAGAAGGTGAACAACATCGTCCACTCTTTCCGCCTATCCCCTACTAGCTTCGACAAAGCTTCGTATGGAGCGTATCTTAAAGGTGCGATTTACATCTGGGACACGGGATAATTATAAACTAAGATAATATAGGTTATATGAAG